AGAGGCAGAGACAGTGGCATCGATTGTGACCCTCCTTAGACGGCGTTTTTTGTCGAGCCGGCGCGTGCCCTGGCGGTGGAGCGGCGACGGCAGTGATGGCGGCGTCGGCGGCGCTGATGGCTCTAGTGGCGGGTGCGCTGGGCGCGCGTGGGCTGTAATTAGCGCGACGTCCGAGGGAGAGCTGAATGGTGGCCACGGCAGTTTGACGCGGCCCCCGAAGCCGTGGGCGGAGGCAGCGGCGGAGTCCGAGCTCCAAGGCGCGCTCGCGACAGGTCGTCCAAGTGTCGATATTTGGGAGGTTTAGCACATTTGTGAAGTCTTGACCTTGTGCGGTATAAATCACATGACGTGATCGTAGCTGAGAGCCAGCGCTGCCGTTGACTCTACACCGACCTTAACCGAGAAGTCCTGGGATCAGAGTCTCTACGCTGGCAGGATTTTCCATTCCAGCTGCATAGCTCGGTCGAATTCAGCCGCTGTCTGGAGGACAATGCTAGCGACCGGCTGCTCTGATCGGTAGTTTTCCGTAGTTTTTCCAATCAGTACGGGTCATTGTTTCATTTTCTTCGTTCCATTATCTGCTCTTACTTACACACTCGCATACTCACACAAGCACATGTCTGTCCGAAGACGAGTCGGGAGCCCGACGGTGGCAGGATTTTCGATTCAAGCTCTCAGCTAGGTCGAATTCAGTCGCTGTCTGGGGAGGAATCCAGCGGTCGGCTGCTCTGATCGGCAGTTTTCCGTGGTTTCTCCGATCAACACCAGGCGGATGCCGTAGCAGGTACCCTAACAAACGGGCTGTGCTATTTCATCACAGGAAAGAAAGTTCTCTAGAAAAATTACTATACATACATTCCGAAACAGAAAATCAAAAATATTGCTTCAATTCGTTTAGTAGTTATTTTCCAATGCTATCGAATTGTGAGGTTTACAAATTTTAGGCAACAATCTCTATTCATTGTGAACTTAAGAGTTAGATATTTTTATGCAACTATAATTGAAGTAATTTATATTTACCTAGTTCTGAACATTTACTTTATGGACAATAGCTGAAAATCCTGCTATTCATTGTAACTTAGAAAAAAATGTCAAGCTATAACACGTCTGGGACCTACAACCTTTTATTTGAAGCAAAAATCACGATATTTCGTTCAGTAGAAAGTTCAAAATGCTATCTAAATGAAAACCAGTTTAAATATAAAGATTTATACTATAAGAGGGACTGAAGTACAGCCACTACTTACAAGAGAGAAAGATTTGGTCCCGAACGTGGTATTGCAAGATACTATTCTCCCGAGTGCATAATGCTCTGGAAAATCCGGATCATACGCAAAAATGTATTTAAATAGCTTTTATTTAATTTTTTGTTACATTTTCTACAAGTAATACAGAGAAAAACAGATTAACTAATGTCCATTACTAGCGATATGCGTCACAGAAAACATTAGTAGTCGGTTGATGTTATTACTAGGAGAAGGTAGAATATGCCAATCTTGAAATACGCTGTGGTCTGCGTAAACACAGATAAAAATATATATATTCCTTCAAATATTTTCAAAGAAGGTGAACTTGCATTATCAAAAATTGCCGTTGAAAAAATCAAAAATATTAACGAAGAAGAATACGAAAACGCATGTTAAAGGGGGGGAATGATTGATGAGTGTTTTCAAAATGATTTTCCTTTTCAGGATGAAGCGAGAATCTCACAAACTTTGGACTTGCCGCGTGTTGAAGGCAAAATTACGAGCAAAACGCAGGCAAAAAAAAGGCAAAAAAATAAATATCGATGCATCCGTGTATGGAAGCAGGTATGTATTTACGAGTATTTATCTAGAGAGCATTGTTTAAGAGGATGGATAATGATGCTGGGACAAAACTACGATTAATATAACTCTTGTTCGAGCGTGAATGAAGGGACACTTTAGCAAAAGAAAAGGTTTTATTAGAGTCGATAACTATTATTTATTGTCTCGATTGTAGTTTTTTTCTTTTGTGTATTTTAAACGGTGCTCCAGAGTGAAATCAACTTATTTCCTTGCAAGACGCTGCCAGTCATAGCCCCATTCTCGCACTGCTTTCCGTCCGTGATGTGTACCTCATTTTGCGCTCTTAGAATTGGGCGGGAGGAGGTTATGCTCGGGATATCGCCCGCAACCAAGAGGACTATTGTGTACCATTATGTGTCATTCCGTGAGCCTTTCTCTACTGCACATAACATTTGACACCGTGGGAAAATATAATCGGGTAATTGTACATTTGACAGCTCGTTTTATGAAACAATATGTACAAATGTGTGATTTTTTTTACTTGAATTTCTCTTCTTTCTTTGCTCTGATTTTTGTTTGCGGCAGTTTTATAACTTGTTCAAGACTCTTCTCAAATTATTTTTCTAATTTCCTGAAACCCACAAATGAGTTTTGTGATTTTGAAAGCAATGGCTAGAAGTAAAAAAATTGTCGATACTTCAAAAAGCCGGAATATCTCAACTTTCCTACATAAAGCTCATTTTATATCATTGTATTTCATGTAGGTTGCAGAAAGTGAAAGTGGTGCTCAACGTGCTCCAGGTCAACAGATGGCGCTGCTACCACGTTGCCGAGCGTTAACATGATAATTACATTCGAATTGTTTTGCTTTCCATCTTACCATTTCATTATATTTTCCACATTTAGAATATCTTTTTAAATTTATAATATTTAAAAATAAATTTATATGTGATGTTGACTTGATTCCTTATTGGAAAAACGGAAGAGGATTTTCTAGTAGTTAATTAAATATACTTTGCATTGCCTTTCTTCAAATGTAATTTCTTGCTCTCTGTTGTATTGTTTTTGTTTGATATTTATCTGCCTTGAATATGCGTTGAAACGCAGTATAAGATTTGAACTATTCACTAATTCAGGATAAGTATTGCAAGATTGATGTAAAAATTTTGGGAATAGGTCATGGGTGAAATAGGTCTCATAATTAAAATCGTAGTTTGCCAACGATTCTGAACTTAATTATTTCATCATGGTTATGGATCAGATAATTAAACAAGTACTACACACGTATGTTACAAAATTGAATACTTACAAAAGTTGTTTTTTTTTATGTTAAAATGTCTACGACAAAAAATGCCTCCTATTTATTTCTATAATGATGCCAATGTCGTAAACACCACACCATTTCTTACAACTTACAAAAATAGAAGTAATTACAAATAAAAAAGGAATCACCACCAATAAAGTTGAAAATAATTCTGAAAAACTTTATCATAAAACCCACCTTACTGTGGTTGAATGTTGAAAAACAGTGTAAAAATATAACCACAACATGGTATTAGGGGAAGATACACTCACAATACCTCCACTCTCTGCTTCATGTTTGAAACACCACGATTAGTATCATATGTTTTGGACATGCAATAACAAGCAATTGACTCAAACCTCCATCCCACAGCATTGGTTCATTATCTACATTAAAGGTTTATCGAACCCATTGGGTTGAACCCTTAAAAATAACCAATACAGTATATTCCAATAACAGAACCATTAGGAATACAATTTTCAGCAACACCAAAGACAGACCTAATACTGAAAACATGAGTAATATATTATAATGGGTTTCATGTGATATCAAGAAGAATACACCCAAGAGTGCCTTAACACATCACACGAAAAATACTTACCACCAATTTATATTTCAGAACACTAGGAACTTGCAATACGAGAACCGAGATAGACAATTTGAGCAAAGTTTATTTTATCATTCTCCAGAAAAGTCTTGTCTCAAATATGGTTTGAAATTCTAAATTTTAATAGTGCTCGAATAAAATAAATGATTGTAAATAATTATACTGCAATATAGTTTCATTTGTTGTATGAAATATATAATTGGTAATAACTTGGAATAAATCACATACTGTTAACAAGTACATGCTTTCCTGATAACATGAGATACAAAATTTTAAAAAATAATAAAGTGTTAGTGCAATTTGAATTTTATTTTTAAGGTCACGAATGTTCTGTTATTTTAATCGCATTGATGCTTTGCGGTTTTCGAACAGACTAGTTCTATCGAAGAAAACTGATCGCAATCAAAATTCGCTTTATTCGTGCATTTCTAGTAATAACACATTTATACCTCTGCCCTCAATTAATTTTCGGTCTTCCGACAAGACGGCGAAAACGTCGCGACTTTTGATTATTGCTACATTCTATGCATTCACGTTACTTCGAAGACACAGTTTCCAGACCGAGATCTTTCCGCGAGCTCACAGGAAGGAAGTGTTTATCTCCCAGTGGGCGTGTTCCATCTCGATGGTGCGAAGTGTTTCGTCTCGTGCTGTACAGTGTAACGGCATATCAGTGGAAGTGTGTGTGTGTGTGTTGGTTGGTGCGAGCGCGCGTTAATAAATGTCTAAGAAGTGTTTGATTTCGCCGTTTCTTTGTTTTAATAGCAGTTTCTGATCCTTGTGTTTTGCCTGGGTTTTAGTTATTCAAGGCGACCAACGTTTCAAGGATTTCAAGCAAGCGATTTCCGCTTTTGACCACAGCAGACGGGGGGTACTTGCCAAGTTTTAGTGCCTGATGTAAAGTCTAATTGAAAGATTGATTTGAAAATAATGATAATGATTCAGAAGGTCAACTAATAATGTTCGTTCAATGGTGTTTTTATTTTAATAGTTTAATAGTATATTACAGTATTTGCGAGATAGTGATTACAATATAGATTTAGGTGTATGTCGTGATTTCTATATTATATTATATAGGTCATTATTGAGGTTATAAAAGTCTAATGTTAATGGTTATTTTGTTAATATGATCAATTGGTCACATTTCGAGTAATACTATTGCCTCTGCCACATTAACGTTAACGGGTAGTATGCTTCTTCAGGTTTTCAGCATTATAGGAGAATTTAAATTTACGACATACTAATTCTGAACCTACTTTCTATTTTATTCTAAATTCATTGAACTCCTTACACTACCCGTTTCATTCAGAAGCACACAATGTACTTTTATCCTTCGACAATAGACATAACATTATGTGTGTAATGAATTGACAGTGCCTTTTTTTACTTTCTCGCTCTTACTTCGCAAGAACTATACTAGTCACTTTCTGATAACATAGACATTTTGGCCTGAAATATATGTTACATAATTTCCTTCTTCGGATTTTACAGTTCAAGATTCAGGGTAGTAAATAAATATATAACTGGTTCTTCGTACTTTTAACACTGACTCCTTATACAGCAACCTTCATACTTGTCAACAACGCAATTTCAATGACACTAACTGTTGTTTTTTCATAAACATTTTCGTGTAACATTCGTAAGATGCGTTTATACCGTCGGCAGTCACTACATTACAGCTGGTAACGCAAATTTTAGAGTCCAATACATACATTTTTACGATGTGATAAATTTCGCACCAATCTTCTTTCGACTCCAATGCCCGAGTGTCCCAATTCAAACGGTAGCTGCCTTGCGGGTGCGTTAGAGGTGCTGTATAAAACGCGTCGCCCTCGGGATGAGTGAAGGCTGACGCGTTAATGGACATCCGCCCCGAGACCTTGGCCTTGGCGCCCCTGGGGAACGGCGCCCGTTTCACTGCGTCGCCTTGGCGCCGGCAAGGCCCACGGGGGTGGGGCGGAATGGATTTTAAGCGATTACCTAAGGTTGTCGCCAATTTTTTTCTTTTTCTGAGAGCTTTACGCACTATTATGTCGTTGGCGTTAAGTGGCATTAAGTCCACCATTGAGAATTTGTGTTATTTACATTGTTACACTTCACTTTTCTATTCTATTGATTAGTGAAATCGCTGATGACCCGGAGAAGCTCACGAGAGGAGGTACGGAATGGTTTTTAAGCGATTACCGAAGGCTGTCGCCAATTTGTTTTCTTTTTCTGAGAGCTTTGCGCACTAGTATAATGTTGGTATACAAGTGGCATTAAGTCCATCCTTGAGAATTTGTGTTATTTGCATTGTTACACTACATTTTTCTATTCTGTTGATTAGTGAAATCGCTGATGACCTCAGGTTTGGGTGTACTAAATTTTCGATTATTTTGGATTTTAACTGTCACAGATCAATGAAAATATACATAAAAAATCTACCTTTGACCCTTCGTTTTTTTTCTTTAAAAGAATATTATGTTTTGAAGTTTAATTAAAGAAAACCGGTTCTTTATACTTCAATACACTGGCCAGCGTTGCGGTATCATAGCTATTTATCTTGAAAAACGTATTTTGGACATAGTTTCACCTGTAATATGTACTAATGAAGTCTAAGGTGTATATGTTTTACCACGTGGTCGGTTAACTCCTCAAACTACCGTGAATCACATCTGAAGCATCACCCCTTCCATAAACATTCATCTCATTATTCACCATCCATAATCACCTCTACCATCATTCACCCAGTGGAACCTCTAGTTACCACCTGCCGAGGAGAAGTGACGATATAAATACCTATGTAATCGACCGTCTTCGTGTCCAATCAGAAACACAGTATGACCCACGTCTTCCCGCACGATCCACATTCTCTAGATTGTGGTCCAGCAATCTAGGGATGGGTGTGAGCCACTTAATAAAATGGTTTCTGCAGAAGATTATTTGTGAAATATGAGGCAATGAAAATAAGTGTCTTTATTTGTATATGTGTATTTATTAACACATGTTGAAATTATTAAAAAACAATATTGTACTTGTTTTTAATGGTATTTTAAAAAAATAAGAATATCATCAGGTGTCTATTTAACACGCACTCTTCACATCTAGTGCTCTTGAAGAAAATGTGATCATCTAAATGTGATCATCTGAAAGAAAAGAAGTCATGATCACCTAAATGTGATAATAGTAATGAACACTCCTCTGACTATGTCTTCCTTCTGTGATAATCGCGATTGAAAAAACGAAATAAACATAAAAACGGCGATAACAATGTATTTCTTTATTCATTTTACAGAAAACACTAACTACATAGCTAGGTCGAATTCAGTCGCAGACTGTAGGATAATTCTAGGGGGGGGGGGGTCTGGCTGCTCTGATCTGTAATTTTCCGTGGATTCTCCGTTCAACACCAGGCGAATGCAGGAAGAGTGCCTTAAACAAACGGGCTGCAGACCACGCGCGATCTTTTCTTCCTCTTCCTTGACTTTTCCTTACCCCTTACTTACTCGTACTACACTACCACACATGTCGGGAGACCGGTCGGGAGTTTAGAGTTTGCCCCGGCTTGAGCAGTGCCCTACTGGTGGGAGATACCTGGTTGGGGAAAACCTGGTACTCACAATGTGAGTCGGCGCGGAATCACACCATCCATCGGAAGGAAAATCATGCCACCTCTTGCGACAGAAACTTGCACTACACTTATGGTACTAACGACCTTCACCGTTGATTCGATTGGAATCACTAATCAATCAATACGTAGTTCAAGGCGGGTCTAAATTATCCTTAGGGAGCCTAGAGCAGATCGTTGTTAGAAGACATCAAA